TCGGTGGAACTATGGGAAATACCACAATATGTATGGGAAAAAAAATATTTAGTGATAAAATCAGGGGATGATAATTGATAATGAACTGGTAATGGAAAATAACCGAGTCAAATGTTTTTATTCAACGATAAGATTCAATTTACTGGTCTAAAAATGTTTTTTTTTGCAATGTGGCTAAAGTAAAAGTAGACTGGCTACGATTTATTATCTAGCTTACGCTTCTCATTCATTTCATGTAGTTTTGAATTAAAACGTAATGAATATTTGTGTTAAGGATTTTTACAGATAAATAGTTATAATTCACCTTAAATTTTAAAACAGGATACAGTTCACAGGGGTATACAGAATTCCTTTACAATGAAGACTATTACCAAATGACACCTTAAAAAAAATGTACCTTTGTGTCCTGTAATTATGGTAGGGAACATCCTTCGGTACTTGTTGAACGTATTCTACTTTCGAAATTGGAACACCTAAAAGAGGAGCTTTACAAGATTCTCTCTAACGGTGAATGATAATACATACCTTGTGACGGGAATGTAATGGCGCTTTACTACACTTTTCATGTGTGACATCTTAGTCCTCCAACGATGAAAACACTGCTTTCAAATAGCTGAATATTACGAAGCATCTATCACTCATGAAGCTTTAGCTGAGTCATTTTCCCAGAACATTTACATTCTGATCATGTAGAAGAAAACCCTGCCCTTACAAAACTGATAATTAATACTCTGTATGCTTCGATTGCAACGCTATACTCCAAAATTCTGTTGGCTATGATTATTCCATAAGTTTCTGTCATACGTTTTACATTATTTAAAGTTTTTGTAACTAATGTTCAATTGAATTAACTTATAGACCATGTCTTTCCAACAGGTACACAATTATTGATTTTGAATGTTACGCTCGTTTTTGTATCAGCTTGATCATTCGTGTATATACAAAACTCTTTGCACTGGATACTTATTGACACCTTAACCGTTTATTATTTGTTGGTGCACAGTAATCAGGTCACACTATCCGCTTATGAGCTATTTGAATGTGTGAAAAACACTTAATTTTCTTTTATTTAAGCACGAGTAGCCACACAAAGACTTGTTTTTTTTAAACAATAACTTACTCAAATCCTAGAAAGCCACTTATTCACTGCATATAATTTGATATTATCCACACAAAATTCAATGTCTCACTAGTTAATTTTAACATTGTTTGTTCACTCTTTTGTCGAAAACGTGACTGATGAATAAAATTGTACTAGATGTAATTAAATTTTATTTTCTCATTCAATTGGAAAGACATCTTGAATAATTTGAATAAATCACATATCCATGCGAATAGAAAAAAGATTTAAATATATTTCAATTTCAGCCTCAAGCATTAGAGCCTTCTTTTTTCAAAAAATCTTTAAAAATTTACAAACTTATATACCTTTCATGGGTAAATATCACAAGAATTGTACAGCGAAACTAAAACAGAAGTCGAAAATAAATATCCAGTAGTTTAATAAATAAAAGATACATTTAAGTTCAAATAAATGGAATATTTGTTGGACAGTTTTTCTCAAAGTATTGTTGCATAACTGTTTGGTCAACCTGTCATATTTGAAATGATTTACTGTGTCACCATAAAATAAATTAATAGATATTTCACTTAGTTTGTGGGAATTTTTCTTCTTGAAAGTGTCATAATTAATTTTATTTTTGTCAAATATATAAAATTATTTGTTGGTTTCTAGAAGGAAATAAATCTCTATTTTGCGTCAAGTCTATTTCAAACAAGTAAAAGCTTTATACTTGAGTGATCTTTGGTTGGATAAAAGATCTACTTACAAGATATATCCAAATGAGAATATGAAATCAGTTTCAAAAAAAGCACTGAAACTCAAGGAAAATGAGGCAGGAGGTTTTTACTGATTTTAAGGTTTTCAATAGTCCGCCCACTAAGTGATGTACATTTTCACTATGAAGTATTAGTTAATATTACTTGTAACGTTTCACGTAACTTTTCCAACACTACACTTGTTCATGTTTTTATAAAGCAACAATAACAATCGTAACAGAATAATGTGGAATCTCGTGCGTTTTGTAAATTCTTTTTAGTTACTTACTAATCTAAATGTTTTGTATCAATCATTCCAAAAAGGGAAAATAGATACAAAAACGCTTATCATTTTCACATACACGATGAACAAATGATGTAGGAAATGACACAAACGCAAAATGACCAAAGGGAATTGTGGAAGCATGAATGAAGATTGCTCGTAAGGCTAATAAATTATAACAATAACGGATGAGTATTTGATAGGGCAAAGCGAAAACTCAGAAAAGCATTTAGGTGACGAGATCTTAAAGAAAGATTACTTAATGATAAATATCATCAATTAAAAAAAGCAGTTCTGACAAGTGGAAAAAGTATTTTTCAATCATATGTTCAATTACTAAGGTTTGGTTTCATAGTTTCAAATAAGTTGAGCATTGGCTAGACTATTAGTAATAAAAATCTATTTTTACTATCCAAACAAGTAGATGTATGTTGCGTCTCCAAAACGCGCATACAAGATCCGAGTAAAATCATCAATTTGATTTCACCTTGTGCAGATAGAAAAACAACAAGGTTTACGCTTCATGTTTCAGGCAGCCCTGTTTCTGCTCCCCGTGGGTGTAGGTATAGTATTCAGTACAAGGGCAGAGCTAGCTCTCTTAGACTGGATCCCGGTAGACAGGCGCTTATGCGCTGTCCGACTCAAAGGGACGGTAAGGACTCCGAAAGACACGGACACTCGCCGTTGCCTCTTCGTCGAATCTGCCTACGCTCCCACTGACTGCAGTTCAGATGAGATAAAAGATGAGTTTTACAGAAACCACTCGAACCTTCTTCAACAAGTTAAACGCTCTGATATAGTAGTAATGGTTGGTGACTTAAATGGTCAAGTATGTAGACTAGGTGAAAAGGAAAGACACCTGGGTGGATCCTATGGTGTCGCGGCCCAGACAACAGACAATGGCGACCGCCTACCGCAGCTATGCTCAGATAACCGCCTATTTCTAGTAAACACTAACTTTAGTCATTAGGTAAAACATCTTTTGACCAGGTGACCCACAAAGCCGATTTAACGATGGACCAAACTAGATCACATCGCTATAAACCATCGGTAGAGACGCTCTGTTGGAGACTGCCGCTCATTCTGGAGCACTTGTTTAGACTCAGACCATGCTCTAGTGAGAGCGCGCATTTGTTTGCGCCTTACTGGACGCAAGAAAAATGCCTTAAATCAACCTCTTAGGGTTCTGCTTAATGATAGCAGAGCTAAGAATATATTTCAGGAAAAACTAGAAAAACAGTTAGACGGCCATGCAGTAAGTAATATGCACCCTGAGGCAGCTTGGAATGATATCAGAAAGGCTGTGGAAACAGCAGTGATACCATAAGATTAGGGAGAAGCCGTGGATTTCAGTAGCATCCACCGAACTGATGGATGCTCGAAAGCTCATCCCGTCTGGCTCTGAATACGATGAGGATCGGAGTCAGCTTAGGCGCAGGCTGATAAAAAGCCTACGCAATGATCGTGAACAGAAGCGGGTAGCGAAAGTAGGAGCGATGGAAAAGGCAGCGACGATAGGCAACAGTAGAAAACTGTTCAGATTCATCAAGGAAACCGGTATTAGGAATCCGAATGTAAGTGAGGCTATCTCGGAAAAAGATGGGAGTACTATTATTTATTCCCAAGCGAGATCAGATCGATGGCAGAGTGCGCTAGGGATAAGTTAAATTGGCTTTCAGCCACACTTCCGTTACCCACGATCTCCAATCAACCTGAATGGTAAATCGAAATTAGTCCTCCGACTGCTAATGAAGTTGGAAAGCTATTGGAAATCTAAAGCGGCAGGGCCTGAAAGGCTCACCCCTGAGATTCGTAAGGATGGTGGTCCAGCCTTAGCAACTAGATTGACCGAGATCTTAGGTAGAATCTGGGAACTAGGCGTAATTCCATTCAACTGGTCTCAATTCACAAGAAACGACAAAAGTCCTCTTATGAGGAATCAGTTTAACTAATGTAGTGTCTAAATTGTTAGCATCGATTATACTTAGACGCCTAACTAGAGCTCGTGAAGAGCAGACTCGAGAAAACCGGGCTGGTTTCAGACCTGGACGTGGCTGCATAGACCACATCTTCACACTACGACAGGTCCCAGAACACAGACACACATTTAGGCATACGACGAGTTTTATCCCTGGAACTTAAGGCGGCATTCGACTCTGTCGATCGTGAGGTTCTGTGGCAGTGTCTGTCATTGAAAGGTGTACCAAAGAAGTACATTAACCTCATACAAGCTCTCCACTCGAACACCAGTGGTTGAGTGAGAGCTTATGGCGAACTGTCACCGGAATTCTTTACTTCAAGTGGCGTCCGTCAGGGATGTCTACTTTCCCCACTCTTGTTTAATTTTGTTATAGACATGCTTCTAGATATAACATTATCTTCGTCTGAATTTCCAGTAGACCTTCTGCCAGGAAATTCATTGATTGGCGTAGTATATGCCGATAACATAGTTCTATTTGATGAAGACGCTAACAAAATGCAGTGTCTCCTGACTACCCTAGGACCTGTAGTTGAATAAACGCAGGAGATACCAGCAACCTTCAAGTTACTTTTGATGTCAGGTAAAGAAGTATAGTTTAATTTTTATGAGGTCGATTTCAATCACTGAACTACGAGTTCAAAACTAATCTATATACATATACTTAAATAATTAGCCAATGATGAATCTGGGATTAATTTGCAAAATCCCAGTTGTCAGATTGTATAAGGATAGCAGGATGAAATTAGCAGTATCAATGGTAGGAAGATACTAGGTACAGTGAACATGGGTCAGTAGTCAGGCAGTATCATCATCCCTGGCGTGGAATGTATGATTTAGAACCAAACACAATAACGCGTACAGTGTGAATATTATCAGAAATTTTACTAATTATTTATTTATTGATTATCACTTTAATTCAGTATGTAGAGTGATCCAGAAATAAAAAAAGATGTAGAGTTTTTCGATAAATCAATTAGTTACTGGCCCATTGTTTTATTTACAGAATAAGTTGAAGAGGTAAATATCAACAAGATCAAACTCACAACTACATTATCGATGAGTGTAATTCATATTATAAAAAATCAAACTTGTAAATGAAGTATCTATGGCAAAATAAGTGTGAAAACATGGGTTGCAATGCTGGGTACTTCAAAATATACAACAGCATATTTGTGTACTTATACAATCGTTTTTTACAACTTTATTTCAAATAACTTCCATTTAACTAGTTAGTGCCTTAGTAACAAGAATTTCATCAAGTTTCTCATAGAACAGTTTTTCTGCAAACTGTTGACAGTTTTCAATTGTCCAAATAGAATTTTCTCTATGTATGGTTTCGTCAAGTTTTTGTAAGCATTCTGCCTTAATATTTGACATCAGTTTTGCATACTGAGTTCGCCACAAATAATCTGGAATAAATGAAAAGTAAGTGATAAATATACCTTTAGATTTTATTGTGTGGTTTGTGATTTTTCTCAAGTGAATATCCACATTATGAAGTAAACTATCCAGATTAATCAGCTTGCTTTTGTTCCTTTCTTCATCTCTTATAGAATCTTCATTTATAATCGGTTGGTTCAACAACACTTTCAAGAAATCAAGCAAGCTAACTGGGCTATGTCTATCATTAATAGAACAGATGCAATAAAATGACAAACATACACACTTTCTTGATGCGAACTGATTGTGATTGTATGCTTCTCCCATAAATTGTTAACTGGATCAGGCCATTCGAATTTCCTCTCCATATTTTGAATAATATCCTCAGGAACCGGATCTGGTCTGGTGCGATTTCTCAAGACACAGGTATCCACCGCACATTTACAAACTATTGACGCATAACTACATGAGTCTGGCAATAGTAAGAAAACACAAAATTACACTTTCTTGCTAGATTATAGAATGAACGACGCATACTACAGTAATAGAAATTGTCGTCCAATAAAACTATGATGTCTTTTGCATCCGGGGTAGAGTAGATGTTGATACTCAGCCATATAATTTTTTCTTTTTCATTGAAATCGTGTGCGAAGTCGACCACCTTCCAGAAAGCTAGCAGTTTCTCAAAACAACCAACAACAGCTTGACGCCAATCCTTCCAATCAGAACTCTAGTCTAAATGTTCAAAAACAAATCGATTGCATACATCCGATTTCGGACAGAATAACTGCACTGGAATGAGTTTATCATACTCTATCCACACAACTAAACAATCGTCCGAATTTAACTGACGTAGACGTTCACATAATGAACTTTTTCCACTTCCCGGAAGACCTACTATAGTTGTTAATACCACTCGTTTCATGAGCACATCTGAAAATTGACAAAAATTTATAAGTTAAAAACGATATTTAACTTAATTTGTTTGTTATGCATATTCGGGATAAAGAGAAAACCGTAGGTAATGGGAATTATTAAAAGACTTTTGAAGGTTCAACTTAAAAGAGTCAACGTTCCGAATTTGATTGCAGTTACATGAGCACGCACAAACTCTTTTAGGATAGTCACAATTATCCCCATAATAATTTGTGGATGGTTTGTAATTCATGGATAGTTTATTATTTGAAGAGAAAAAGCTTGGGACTAGTACTTTTACAGTCATCTTCAAACGACGAAACTGACCATATCAAACCATATGCTAGAAAGGAAATAACCACTTACGCAGGAAAAACGGCCATAAGTAAGCGTGAACTATTATATTTGCAGACTACAACGGGTTTACCAAGTCAAGAGGAAATGGAGATTTAAAGATGGAAACGTTTTAAGGGTTTGTTGTGCAAGTAATTAGCAGATTGTGATATATCAAAAGTATCCGGAAGCCATTATTATAGATTGGGTTAATGGTACAGAATACTAATAAGTGAGGATGTTCATGAAAAATTTTACCAGCTAGGTAGGTACTTTGTTGCAGTTTATAGTGACTGACAATTTTCAATTACATCAAAACTGAGGAGAAAGGAATTAAGGCCATATGTAACCTAGATAGGTTCAAGGAAATAATGGGAAACATTTGGATGATACAGACGTTAGCAATAGATTGTACACAGGCTGAAACAGTGAAAGTCCTTACAGCTCATAAACTTAATTGCTTGCGATTATAACGTTTATCTAAGTTTTGTGAGGTAAATGAATACCTGGTTTGGTGAGATCTCCTTTGGATGTGGGATTGAGCGGTAAGAGTACATCTTGGTTAGCTGATAAAGGTGAAGCGATTGGATGACAATGTCTACAACACTTATTTCAAGATATCCGCAACATGTGTGGGTCGTAGACAGACTAAATAGACGTGGTCGACAGTACTGTTGTAGGTGTTGGCTTTATAACAAAACAACAACTACGGTTAGTAGTATCATGTACTTCTTGAATAATTTCTTCGAACCGTTATCTCCATAACCGCTAATAATTCATTTATCTCTACCACCATTGGATTTAGACTGACAGTTGCGTCTATGTGATATTGTGATATGACAACCTGAACTTATATTCGTACGTAAGTTGTACGTTGTAACTGACTGACTGATCATGTACCTATGGGATTGATAAAAATAATCGTGTTAGGTGCCTGCTAACAGAAGCCTTGGTTACTACATAGTCACAGTGCACTGATTAATCCGCTTTCGACAACTGACCAGTGCTAGTTAATTTATTAGGATACTGAAATATTTTTGTGTAAATTTCATACATATGCAAACGTCTCGTATTTTGTTATATTTTTTATTTTATGAGATGTTTTAATCTTGGATCAGTTGAGTGAAATCGTATGTCCAGGGAAGGCACAGTAGTCCATTAATTGGCGAATAAAGCGACTTGAAGACAAAACGATCCACTGCACATATGTATACACAATGTGCATAAGTGGAACCCAAGAACATCGGCATAAAAGTGTGAAATGTACGAAATTAGCCGTATGTTGCTAAACGTATAATGCTCCAGCAAAACCGGTTCCCTTGACTAATCAGCCGACTATATTCATTATAAGGGATGTATTACAGGTGACAGGGATGACATACATACCCCAATCTCCCGCATTCAGGGAGACCTTGATCGAATTGGGGAAAATCCGGAGCTGTTATTGTAAAATTTTCGAAAATGCAAATATTTAATCCCATAACTTATTCTGGTCTGGGACTTTCCACCGAAATTCCCACAGACATTGGGGAAATCCCCGAAACTTTAGGGGGAAATTTGGGATTTCCCCGAAGTTGAGAGATTGGGTTCATTTTGAGTGCTAAACGCATGCTTTTATACCTATAACTGGCCGAAGATTATCTCATACGATGTGTTTGGGTTCATCAGAGTTTGAACCTTGGATGTCGAAATGTGCCGGTGCGAAGGTCCAACGTATTGCAAAACTTTTCAAACATTTTTATTCAGTTAAGAGATAAAAAAAACCCTAGCTAAAAACCATGAGCCATGCCCAAACTAACATTTAGGAGAAAATTACGAGATACGTAATTCTTAACTGCTTTTACACAAACATAGTTGTGTGTTGCTGAGACTAATTTTAAATCTTGAAACAAAGATAACAGATATACCTTATATGATATAGAGACATAGTACCTGTCAAAGCATAGAACCTTAAAGTGATGATAGTCAGGATAACATGTAGGAAGGCTTCACAGGTGTCCTGGAGGCTGGCGCTTCTCAGTTTCGGTGACCTTGAACCGCTTGCTTTGAGGCTGTCATTCTGTATTTGAAGTAGGTAGCGTATCATTAGTGGCGTGTGTGACTTTAGGATCTTTGTATGACTAAGACGTGGAATAAAAGAAACGAAGATTTTCCTATATTTCAGACAAGCAAATCGTCCATGTTTCAAGCAACCGAAAAGGGATGACAGCGAAAACAAAGTATAAGGAGTCATGTCTTAGTTAAAGTGTTTAATATTTTAGTTTAAGACAATAGGAAGTCTTGCCATCAGTGCCCACACCCCTTTACAGTGCTCTAGCAGCCGAATGTTATTAACGTCACTGTTGTTCAGTTATTAGTCATTTAATTCCTCACCTGCTTCTACGATTGCAGGACAAATAGGGCGCATAAGACGCAAGCATGTTCGGTTTCATCTGCAGTTAAAAATCTGGACATATCATTTGTTTCTAATTCATTATTTGTCACTTTTTAAACCTGAATAAATGACCGTCGGACTTAACACTGGCAACGGAGTCTTGAAAAAAATGTATCCGTTATTGAAGTGTTTGTACAATATGATTTCGTTCTTTGTTAGTGAACCTCTTTAAAAATACATGGTTCTCCACTGAAGTGTGAGGTGTTAAAACGTTCGTTTTGTGATAAAAATAGAGGCAAGAATTGGCGACTTTATTTCTACTTTCTCTGATATATCTCATAAATGCTGACAAACCTCGAGTGTTTGGTTATGCAGATCAGATAGCTTTTTCATCTGTTAACCTGGATCGTTTGTGAATTTTGTCATTATACTATGTATGATAAAATGAGTTAGCTTGTTTCAAGGAGCATATCTAAGTAAAATATTGCTACATCGATGAAATATAATCCTCAATTGTTAGAAGTCACAAACGGAAACTGTTTTTTGGTTTATACACATCAAAAAATCTCTCCAGTAGTACAGAACGGAAAATGAGGGAATCACGAAAGCGACAGGCAGGAAGATACAAGTGTTTATCGATAGTTGTCCACGCAAACTAATTCGGATCAGTTGGCCTGACACCATCCGCAACGAGCTACTGTGGCTGATGACAACTTAGATCGCATCTGTGGAAGAAATAAGGTAAAAGCGAAATAGGATGCGCACTGAAGAAATTATCCGACTGCATCCCAAATCAAGCCTTTACCTGGGATCTTCAAGTGCACAGGAGCGAAAGAATACCGAGTCGAGATTGACTATGATCACCATTAAATACTCATTACAATCCCATCACAACTTATACAAATGAATCCAATTTTGAATATTTATTTGGAGGAGAATGTAGGCATTACATCGAACAAAAATTTATGAAAGATGACAGCAACGCGAAAAGGGACTTTTGCGCGCAGGTAATTGTTTTTGGTACAGTTCAACAAAATGAGTACAGTAATAAATGTTTACTTTTCCACAATCGCGTTTTATGAATAGAAGTTTTCCACTACAGACCAAAGAATGAATTGCGCCGATTGTTGGAGATAGACATGAGTGGAATGTATATCATTAGGTGGAAATAGTATAAAAGGCCCAGGATGGAGTAGGTTGGAAAATGCTGGTCAGTGGCTTATGCTCCACTGGGCGTATCGGCGTTAGGAAATTCAAGTAAGTAATTCCCAATCGTTAACTGGTTTAAACATGGACATTTGATCTCTTAGCTGATCCATGTAGCGCTCTTGGTAGAGACCTTTATTTCTTAATATAAGGATTGCTAAACTTACCTGGTATTCCTAAAGTCGTCCCAATGGCTAGTTCTGCCGAAGAACATTGGATAAGTTATGTTAATTGTTCTTGTTTCTATCCTGAATAACGGAAGGTATTCCGCCCACTGATTGATGTTTGGGTGTGATATTAGAGTGGCTTTCAAATGAAGCTAGAAACGTTCCATCACTTCAATAGCCTATGGTATGCTGTAAACCATACTCTGCAGGTCAATGAATAACTCAGGTTACGATTAGGCTCCTCTATCGGTTTTTATTGTGGTTATTGAACCAAAGATTGTCACACAGCTGTGAAGGAAGAATTTCGCCACATTTTCAGCTTTTAAGTCGGTGTTTTCTACGGCTACTAAGAACCATGTAAATCTGGTTATAAAGGTAAATAATTGTTTAAAATTAATTGGGCGGGGTAAATGACCTACCAAATCTATATGAATGTATGCGAAATGTTTGTCTGGTTGCGAGAAAACTCCAGTAGATGGAGTCGTACGACGGATAAGCTTTGATTGTTGAAACGCTTACGTACATCTTTTTGTAAGCTAGGCCATATATATATAGTATTTATCAGTTGGTTGGTAGCCCTAACGCCAGGATAAGATTTATAAAACATCGATTTTCGTGCTGTTTTGTGGATAAACGGTCGAGACATCACACTGACTGTGTCACGAAAGATCAGGTTACCTTGGATAAGTGATGAGAGCGGTTTTAGTACGAGATTTTAGCTGTACATTGAGAGCGGATTTTATAATTATTAATCCTCTCTCTGGTTGTCTGCTAAACTTCCAAACGTTGCGGTCAATTGTTGAATTGTGTTCATTTTTAATCGAGATTATGCATCCGATACTTGATTGTTCTGATCATTTAAATGTCGTATTTCACCATTGAGCAACGATATAAAGTCAAGATGTTGGGTCTCCCAAGGTAAATATTTATCACCTTTAGCTTTCAATGGATGAGTCAGTGATTTGTGGTCTGCCTGAACCATGGACGCCCTGCCTTCCAACATGTTTCGGAAATTCTTGATGGCCAGGCAGATTGTGAGCATTTGGCATCGGAAATTACATTATCTAGTCTCTGCCAGAACGAGCCGTTTTGAGAAGAACGCTAACGGTTAGCATGCCTTTTTAGCTAATTGATGAATATAGCTGCCTATTCTCTGTCTACCAGGATACTGTGATATGCTCTTATAAGGTCGATTTTAGTAAATACACACATACCCCGTAATCTGTTTGCAAAGTTTTCAGTATGAGGTAAAGGGTACGCCAGTGATTTGGTTAGAATTGAGAGCTCTCCGGTCATAAAACAGTCTCCGATTACCTTCGTTTTTCTTCTGCGCCATATGTAGAGGGATGCCTATTAGCTACAAGAAGACAAATGATACCGAGCTAAAGCATGTAGTCGCATTCAGTCCTAGCTATTTTAGGCTCATCAGATGCTAGTCTTCTGAGTATAACAAACATAAATGTAAACTCGGTTTTGACTATTTTCAGCCTCTTTTTAAAAGATTGGGAGTCATATTTGGTCTACGAGAATATCCTAGAACGTTGTAGTTGTCAGTGGTGGAGTTTGTGCTAAACTAATGGAAATTATATGGATTTTTTTCCTTTTGCGTAGTATAAAGGTGCCAAAAGCCATTCCTCAGTGTCGACTAGAGATTGCTATTCCTTTAAAAAATCTGTTTCCAGTATTGCTATATCTATATGTGCCCCACTAAACACTCAGGGGAATCATACCTTAAGTCTCATATCCAGAGTTAACCTTTTCTTACCAAATACCGTCCAGGCCACTCCTTGGACTTATACTCAAAGCTTATAGAGAACAATAAATCAATAGATTTATACGGCCACTTAGGCGATCTAATTAGTCAGTCAGTCAGTTGCAACGTAGAACTTCGTACGTATGTACATCAGTTCATGTTGCCATACCACATTAGCACAGAGACACAAATGTCAAATAAAATCCCATAGTGATAGAGATAGTAGAGGTATTAATGGTAATGAAGAAGACTAGGGTTTGCAGATATTATTCAAGAAGTATAATTCAGTGAGATAAGGTTAGAAAGACAAAGGTAGAGGTGTTGATGAATCTGGAAGATTAGGATTTGAGAGAGCACAATGGATGGATGCACTTGCGCCATTGCAAACGATTTTGAGCCATGTCGTCCAAGGTCTCTAACCATTGGTGACTTTCGTCTCGCGGACCCCAACTAGGTGGTCTACATTTACCAAGAGAACTCAGTCTACTTGTCAGTGACTTCACAGCTTTCTTCCAACCTACTTCTACGGCACAAAACATAGCTCGTCGAGGCAGTTGGTGGTCTGGCATTCGTAACACATGTCCCAACCACCATCTAATAATGGCAAAAGATATCTCAACAGCCATCGGAATTCTCCAAATGATTTAATTTTGTCCAATCCCGATAAAAAGCTTGGGAACTAAGGGTAATATACGGTAAGCTTCACTTCAATTTAATTTTCTACATAATAAGAGTAATGAAGTTTAAGCATTTGTTTCAAGAAATGAAACGATGTTTTCTTAGGTAGAAGCAAAAGTAATTCACACTGACTTCTTAATGCTCTTTCCTACACTAAATTTCTACGGAGCCACTGATCATTCATTATTACTGAGTAGGGTGCTTGTTAAGCGAAAACTTTTATTCCGTCACCAGCCATTCAAACGATTTCAGCAGGTATGAGGAAATAGAGTTGTGTGACAGAAGATCATAGGGATGCATGAATGTTACTAGAGTAATGTATGCTGCGATCTGTCAAGCACTTTGCTTAAACAGGTTTGTATTGGACAAAGTGGAGGTTGTTCATCATCTCACAATAGCCGGGATATTTGATCTAAGTCACCATCCACGATGGTTAGTGCGGTTTTATTTATGTAATGGGTTTTGTTTAGGACCTTATGCTACCGGAAAAGTTTCAGCACATTCTTCGTGTTATGAACACAAATATTGATGGTCAACTGAAAATTATGTATGCTATGACTTCAATTAAAGGTGTTGGCCGACGCTATGCCAACGTAGTCTGCAAGAAAGCTGATATCGACCTTAACAAGCGTGCTGGAGAACTAACTGATGATGAAGTTGAAAAACTTGTGACAGTAATGAGCAACCCAAGGCAGTATAAGATCCCTGACTGGTTTTTAAACAGACAGAAAGATGTAGATGATGGCAAACATTCACAACTTATGTCCGGTGCTTTGGAAACCAAACTACGTGAAGATCTTGAGCGATTGAAAAGGATAAGATCCCACCGAGGTATACGCCACTATTGGGGGTACGTAAATGAAAAGAGCTAAAATCATTGTATTTAAACGTCATTAGCACAATAATTCACACAAGTCCTAATTGATTATATCGTCCGGTCATGAACTGGAAACAGTTGGATATACTTTGCTTCCCCTTAGTTCATTTCGGTTCATGGTCCCGCCTTTTAATCATTTCCTATTGTAGTATCCCAATGTCTATGAACAATCCTTTTGACCCTTTTCTGTTCGGTTGAAACACGTAATAGTTTAGGTGTGAGAACTTTGTTGTCTACTGAATAGTGTTACACATCTATATATTCCTTTCGATCGTAGTCTGTCTGTGTTAGCGTTAATGATCGTTGCCACTAAGCCAACTGATCCAAAAACCTGTCATTAATTAAATGTGCCACGCTGAGAAACTGTTGCTAGGTATTATTTCATGAATAGATGAAGGTTGTAGTGCAGAGTACTTATTTAGTGTTTTCAGCATCAGTTTTAGTTTTAAAAACTTTTTGTTCAGGAACTGGCTGTTGGTAATTCTATATATGAAACCATTACATCACCCTTTTGAGGCAGTATCGTTAGAGATGTAGACTTGAAAAATTCCTCGTCACCAGTAAAAAGTCCGGATAATGTGATACTGCAAGGGAAATCGGCATTTTTAAGTCTTGATTCTTGGTCTACAGTTCTTACTAAGCTTCTCAGGATGTCGAATGAAATTCGTAACTGATTTAGCTAGAATAACTCACTACGGTAGTCAAATTTTTGCGTCTGTCACAAGTGTCAAACCAGGAGTGACCCTTGTCAGTGATACGTCCTAGTTTGATCCTACCTTACTAGCTTTCTGTTTACTCCGTGTACTTATGTACATGGATAATAGTACCTCTCACGATTCATATGTATTATAATTTTAGATTGCGAGTTCGCGGTCAGCACACAAAGACAACTGGTCGACGTGGACGAACTGTCGGTGTGTCTCGAAAGAAATAACTGAATAAACATTGTTTCGGAACCAATGTCTTTTGCTTTTCTGTATTGGGTTATTCTCCCTCTTAGTATGGCGTTTATTGCTATATCTCGAAAACTATCATTTGCTAACTAATAGTAAGAATGAACTTGATTATAGATAAGCACATTGGGCTAAGTATATCAAGTCATCTATCCATCCAAACCTTTCACCCAATACGCAGTTGAAATAGGGAATCTACGCTTACTCGGATTGTGACAACTGTATAGTTGAATCTGAGGCGGTTTCTGTGGAGTCTCAGCGTTGATGTATTTCCAGGTATTGACAAGTTCATTACTATAAATACATAGTGTATTGTAACATTTCTGTTTGGCATGTGGTAATTTAAGCTTGGAAGTAAAGACCGTATACACTCATTAGGTGGTAAGACTTCGTTAGTGTTGATGTACTACTGTCGATTGTTGATGTGTTCAATAAAACAGTCCTAGAATATCTAGTGCCTTTAACGTTTTGGAACTTCGATGTAGGTGACATGAGTACCATATCTTGATATGTTCTTGTAAAGGTTTGGACAGTCAGATGATTGTGTTTCACGTAGAAAGTATTGGTTCATGCTCCTCGGAACTTAATGCGACTTCCCTAAATCACTACGCGGTTTGCTTTCCACGTCCTAAGAAAAACTCTACTGCTTCGCTATACTGACCTGGGTTTATGTGTGCTACTTTGTGTCATTAAGGACAGCCCCTTTGATGCGGTCGATATTATGGATATTTGGATACTAGAGTCTTGTTTGCATTATCGTGGTCGTTTCCTAGTCACAAGATTTGCCTACCTTTTTTCACATCAAGTAAATCAGAGTCGACAACATACTACTGAATATTTTCAGTGTAATCAACCTTATTCATAAAATATATTCCATGGCTTTTTTTCTTCAGACAGTAGCTTGTTTCGTGGTTTGGCATCTGAATTCCGTTATCCTAGTAGCTGAAGTTAGTTTGTCCAGAGCATTTTTCTCCTGAAACTGGACGACTATTTAGCATGGAGGTTCATGTTATGCGCTTGCATTGAATCAGGCTATGCAACAAAAGTGTTTGTGCCTCCAGCAATTTTCCGTGGCGTTGACAGGACTACTTATTAACCGATACAGGTGTGGTTATCGAATTAACCCGCTTTGAACTTGTGGAGGGCGCCCTTCTTACTTGTTACCTTTATAACTTACTTCCCGACTGTAGCTGCTACCTTGACATGGTGGTCGGGCTTGCCTATCGTGATGACCCGACCGAGTTATATTGTCTGGAACATATGTTCCTGTAGGTTCTACCATGTCAGGCACGTCGATTGCAGAACGATGAGACTAAGAGCAGCTACTCAAGGTCTGAGGGCGAAGTCGTACTGCTGACTGCAGAGGGGTGTGACAGCAGTAAGGTGTTTCCCTCGGACAACCAACATCTGCGGCGATGCTGCCTTCTCACAAGGAAGGAAGAGTTGGAAAAGGTCAACCCTAAAAATGCCACACCTCACCCTACCTCACGGATTTCCGTCTCCGTCGGTAAGTGTGCCCACTAAGGGCTTTTAAGAGCGGAGCTAATACTCAAAAATCCTTTCATAAAAAGGCCGTGCGTGACCGGCCTCAAGCAGTTGTCCCTTGCGCTCTGCGATCACGCAACCAGTTCGTGAAGACCAGCACTAATCTATCTTCCTTTTCAGGTTCCTCTAGAAACAACCTCCCACGGTGTTGGCAGCCGGGAAGTGACAACCGCCCTCATACCCGTAACAGCACGAGAGACCAAATTGTTCAGAATGAAAACCTTCCCACACCCCCTAATATCTCTCTTATCTCCACGACTAACTCTAGTGGCATTCCTTCAGCTCACTGCACCGCTAATGCAAACGATGCGAGTTCCCGAAACGTTGTTCTTGGTCTCGTGAAACCTCGTTTTAAATTACTTGTTGAGGCATTTAATGTACGGACATTATGTCAAATACGGCAACAGGCTTCCTTAGCTAGGACATTAGGATCTCGCGCCATCGACGTATGCTGCATCTCGGAGACGCGCATGCAGGATCCTAGTAAAGTCATTAATCTGATTCCGCCTTGTCAAAATGAAGAAGCAACCCGATTACTCTTCGTGTATCTGGTAGCCCTGATGCTGCTTCCTGGGGTCTCGCTGGCGTAGGTATAGCATTGAGTCGTAGGGCTGAACTCTCTCCTAGACTGGATCCCTGTAGATAGTCGCTTGTGCGCTGTCCGACTGAACGGGATAGTAAGGTCTCGAAAGGGTAGGGACACGCTGTTGCCTCTTCGTCGTATCTGCCTATTCCCCGCACTGACTGCAGTTCAGACGAGGTTAAAGATGAGTTTTACACAAAGCTTTCGGACCTCCTCCAAAACGTTAGGCGCTCTGATATAGTAATAATGGCTGGTGACTTTAATGCTCTAGTAGGTAGACTGAGTGAAAATGAAAGACACCTAGGTGGATGTTATGGTGTCGTGGCTCAGAGAACAGACAATGGTGACCGTCTGTTGCAAGTATGCTCAGACAACCGCCTATTCTTAGCAAACACTAACTTTAGACATAAGGAAAATCATCTCTTGACCTGGTGGCTTCAAAGCCGTCTCAACGTTGGACCCAACTAGGTCACATTTTCATCAGCCATCGATGGAGAGGTTCGATAGACGACTGCCGCTCATTCTTGGGCACTTATTCAGATTCAGACCATTCGCTAGTGCGAGCGCGTATTTGTTTGAGTCCTCCCGGACGTAGGAAGGACACCGCAAAGAAACCTCTTACGGCTCTACTTAATGATAATAAAGCTAAGAATATATTTCAGGAACAACTAGAAAAACAGTTAGGCGACCAAGTAAGCGATTCTTATCCGGAGGCAGGTCGGAACGATATCAAAAAGGCTATGGAAATTGCAGTGATATCTGCTAGCAAGGTGAACCATAAGTCTAGAATGAAGCCGTGGGTCTCAGTAGCATCTACCGAACTGATGGATGCTCAAGTGCGATGTTGAGCGAAGCCAGATCAGGCGCAGGCTGATAAAAAGCTTACGCAATGATCGAGAGCAGTGGTGGGTGGCGAAAGCGAGAGAGATGGAAAAGGCAGCGACGATAGGCAACAGTAAACAGCCGTCCGCCTTATAACGGAAACCGGTGTTAGAAATCCGTCTGTTAGCGGAACTATCTCAGGAAAGGATGGTTGTATCATTCATTCTCAATCCAGGAGATTGGATCGATGGGCAGAACATTTCAGGGATCACTTAAACTGGCCTTCAGCCACACTTTGGTTGCCCACGATCTCCAGTCACTCTGAATGACAAATCGATTTGAGTCCTAGTCTTCATGAAGTTGAGAATTCTATAGGAAGTCTGAAGTGAGGTAGAGCATCAGGCTCTGGCAGGCTTACCCCTGAGATTTTTTATGATTGTGGTCCAGTTTTAGCAGCCAGATTGACTGAGGTCTTAGGTAGAATCTGGGAACTGGACGCAATCCCATCCGACTGGTCTCAATCCCTGGTTGTCCCAATTTTAAAGAAAGGACAAAAGTCTTCTTGTGACAAGCACAGAGGAATAAGTCCAACTAATATAGTTTCTAAATCGTTAGCCTCGATTATACTTAGATGCCTAACTAGAGCTCGTGAAGAGCAGACTAGAGAAAACCAGTCTGGTTTCAGACCTGAACGTGGTTGTATAGACCACATTTTCACTCTGCGACAGGTCCCAGAACACAGACACACATTTAGGCGTCCGACGATAGTTTTATCCCTGGAACTTAAGGCGGCATTCGACTCTGGATCGTGAGGTTCTGTAGCAGTGTCTATCAATGAAAGGTGTACCAAAGAAATATGTCAACCCTATACAAGCACTCTACTCGAACACTACAGGTCGAGTGAGAGCTTATGGCGAACTGTCATCGGAATTCTCTACTGCAAGTGGTGTCCATCAGGGATGTCCACTTTCTCCATTCTTGTTTAATTTTATGATAGACATGCTCCTAGAAATAACCTGATCCTCGTCTGAATTTTCAGGAGTAGACCTTTTACCGGGAGGCTCGCTTGCTGACTTACAATATGCCGATAACATAGTTTTATTTGATGAAGACGCTGACAAAATGCAGTCTTCTGATCACTTTGAGCAACAATGCAAGCATGTTCGGGATGCGGTTTTCCCCCTCGAAATGCAAAATGTTGCTTCAAGATTGGGTTGCATCGGTACCTGAACTAGTGATAGGGAGCGAAGTAGTCGTACGTGTAGACATCTCCACTTATCTTGTGAGTCTCATCAGTGCTGATGGCCTGGTGACTGACGAAATCTCAGCACGATACAGAAGGCTCGATTGGCTTTTGCCAACCTGCGTCACTTAGGGCGTAGGCGAGATATCTGTTTGCTGACTAAAGGACGAGTGCATTGCGCAGCAGTTTGCTCCGTCCTACTTTATGGTTGTGAAACATGGCCAATCAGAGTAGAAGATATTCGTAGGTTACTGGTTTTTGATCATAGGTGTCTTCGAAGCATTGCTCGTGTATCGTGGGAAAACCGAGTAAGCAATGCTATAGTTAGGAAACGAGTATTAGGTAAGGATGGCAGATCAATAGATAAAATATTGAAACTTCATCAGTTGAGGTGGTTGGGACATATGCTGACCTCTGTGACTACTGATGATACCTTTACTACCTCTACTACTATTGGATTTGGATTGACAATTACATCTCTGTGCTAATGTGGTATGGCAACATGAACTGATGTACGTACGTACGATGTTCTACGTTGCTATTGATTGATTAATATAACTTACGTTCAGTTGCAGGTTTTCAGCTATATGGATTGCGTTACGGTTGCAGTCAGAGTAAAAATAACAAATAGTACTAAATGACCATTAAATGTTCAGGTGAACTGTACGAGAGTGATCGAGACTCCGGCTGATATGTCAGTTAGGAGACTTGTTATCAAATCCTGTTAGCTAACGTAAGATGGAAACATTTTTTACTTGGGGAGTAACTCTTTGTTTTTCTTTCATTCTTTCTGTTGTTGGCACTATTGCCTCCCAGATCCCTTGTTTCTCACTAGTGTCTAAATTCGAAAGATAACAACTAGAACTGTTAAATTATGCATACATACTTCTAGTAACTAACATATGGCAAATAGTGATCCGTCTATACTGAATTTAATAATATGTCTCGTGAAGAGTTATGAACGGAGATCGAGTTGTTAAATGGATAATCATGGGAGGGTATGAATTTTACATAAATAATTTGTTGATATTATCGTTCCAGAATAAGTTAATCAAATTGTCTGTTCTAATAGCTAACTGGAATAGCATATAATGATCCGTACTTGTCTTTGATAGGGAAACTTTTTCTCATGCTTAAACACCTTTGATCGATGGACAAAGAATTTTCTTTGGTTTCTATCTCTTGTTCAAGAGAAGCTCGACTATTTTGCAGTCTAGCCAGTGTAACGCATGCATTCCTGCGGTTGTTTTTAAGTTCTTCAATTGTTTTTCGAAGTTCCAAAACCTCAGTTTGAAGCCTGTAAAAGAAAACATCAAGTGTGAAGGGGCTGTATTTTACGTATATACGTATTCAGCTCACCATATAGGAATTCACTGTGGTAAAAACCCCTATATTTTTAGGATATTGCCACTGCAAAACAATTAGTCCATTTATTAAATTTTTAGTTGCAACGAATTGTTTAATAGGAAGCGGTTATCGCCTAGTCATAGCATACTTCTGGAAAAAAATTTTGTAATCGTCCAGCATAAAAATATACAACGGTTAGTTCTAGACATTCATAACTCCTTACGTACGTATGAAGTTCTACGTTGCAGTTGACTGACTGATTGATAACTCCTCTGATATAAGGAATTTTAGTTGTGAACGTCAGTTAAAAGAGCTACAAATGAATGAGAAGAGTATTGGTGGCGGTCAGTGGTATCAAGTGTCACTATGGTACGACAGGATAATATATCTCAAAAATACATGGGATTAAACTATAATGTGCAACAACTTATACTTTACAGTGCTTTAATTCAATTAAAAGAAAATACCGTTTTAAGTCTATCAAAGATTTCGTTTATAGGTAACGTACGTACTGTGATGCCATCTATGTTGAAGAGTTGTTTCATAAAGTCTTGAAGCCAAAGAACAACTAGGCTTCATGGAAAGACGTTGCTGATCTATATGCTGTTTTCAATAGACGTTAAACCGATATTAAAAACGTCACAACAGTTCCTAAAGCATTTTCAAACTTCGTGGCAATAGTGTACCAGTAGAGTATATTTATTCCGGAAACACCATAGGATGGCAACTCATCACAACTGCTTTATATTTATTAAGGTCGAAGTATGCTCACCAATATGATAAATGAAACTATTACAGTATATTTAGTCGAACTGCATCGCTAAAAGAAATGAGGGCTGTTTAACGGGATAGGATGAAGTATGGGGAAGAGAAGGTTCAGATGAAGATTAGTCTTATCTAAATTTGTTCGTTGCCCCCTGGCTGACCGTTCTATATCGCTACCTAAAGCGTTTGAGAAGTAGTTGGTGACTACAAAAGATAGAATTCACTGGTGGAGTCCTTAGGATATTAGTCCTAAGATCTACTATGAGGTCCTGATGGCGTGGTCCTAATTCTCACTCACTGCTTTCTTTGGACATAAATACTAACCGATTCGCAGCTTTATCGAAGTGTTGTATAGATGTTCATCAAATTAGTACATCGATACAATTTAGTTTGGAAGGAAACTAACAAGTAAATTAAAGATTCTTCTAGAGTTAATTGTGACCTTACCAATTCATTTCTGTGGTTACTGGCTCGCTTCAGCCAACGTGAACTTACGTTTTCATTGGTTGATCATAACAACTCTCCACATTAATTCTTCGAGTTCTTTCTTTTAATCTGGTTTGTGCAACTTTTAGTGGCTGCAATTTGTCATCTTCAGTATTCTTAAGTGCTCCTATTAAACTTTCCACGTCATATAATTCTTGTGTAACCTAATGAATAATTTACAGTTAAAAACAATAGAAATGAAAAATACTAATGACTACTTTTCTCAAAGATGAGCGAAGATTATCTCTTGCATCGGTCACTTCATTTATCCTCGTTTGCAGTGCATTATTCACCGTAACAAATTGACCATGTACACTACCAACTATAGATCTTAATGCAGAATCGATTTTTTCACGTAGATTTTCAGATGCACTACGTTGGTTCTGAGATCGGATTAAATTTTCTTGAGTGTACCTTGTCCATGAAGTTGGGATACTCCGACTGAAAAATAAGTATTAGATAGGATCGTCAGATGTATTAGTGACGTGTAGAAATTGGTTACTGTTGAATTTTACGTAATTTTAATTGAGTTGAGACTTCAAATGTGGAAATAGTGCTATCCACTGTGAAGTTCCCGATACAGATTTTATTCTATTGTCAAAGGGCTTGATATGATTATGCAGTAAAAAAACTGTGTGTCAGCCGTGGAATAATTTTTATGAGTTCAGCTCGATAATGAAATATTCTCTTTTCAGGAATTTTACATGTAATTATACCCTACTTAATTTACAAATAAGTACTCTAATTTTATTCACAAAACAAACATTTCAGCTCGCGGTTCAGGCGATATTTGTATTGTGATATATATATATATATATATATATATATATATATATATATATATATATATATATATATATATATATATATATATGAATAAGAAATAGTAATCAACGAATTTTGAAAGATTAGTACTCACTATAGAGAGGTTGAGACAAGAAAAATATTACCATTTTTCAATTAGAGTTATGAAGAATGGTGTTTTTTGCACAATGAAACCATCAATCAATCATTGTTAGACCACCGTTAGAAACCTGGAAGCACTGGAAAGCCGTGTCGTCCTGTTATGGGACTCATCAGCAGTATGCGTCCACGACTAATGAACATCGCAAGATTCGTACCCAGGACCGTCGGTTTTGCACCCGAAAGCCTAACGTCTGGACCGCTGGGCCGGCATCCATCGGTGTTAATATCTAACTCTGATCAATCTGCAGATTTTGTGCGACCTCACTCATTTTTCTTTGGTAGTTACTGACCACACCCGATAGGGGTGAACTCCACTGATCACGTCTTCTCACTAGAACTCCGAAAAATATCCTCACGAAGCTAGTCACTAGTGAGCGAATATATATATATATATATATATATATATACATCAGTACATTCTTTTTCAATTATAGAATGAGGTTTATTATTTGTAAAATAGGAGTTATAACGAAACTCTGGGAGTGAATACGTTTTATTTCGCTGATAAGTCCCATAACAGGACGAGACGGCCGTCCAGTGCTTCCAGGTTTCTAGTGGTAGTCTAACAATGATTGATTGATGGTTTCAGCATGCAAAAAATACCACCGTTAAGATCTAGCCACTCAGAGGGGCAAAATTTTAGAAAGAAAAATTTAGACGGTTCTTTTCATACTTAATTCCTTTCCTGTAATACAATCAAGAAAATTTTAGGTTCTCAAACTCCAAAGAGTTAGTTTGTTTTTAGAGAGTACTACAGATTCATTGGTGCACCTCTACCAATTTGTCAGAGAAAGAATCACTATTTTTCCTCACTTCCTTTGATTTTTATTTAGCTAAGGGATTAATCGAAATCAAATAGGCGACGGCCATTACTTTGTCACATGAAAGAGTGAAAATGTTATTAGTCTAAATAAAATATTGCTTTATTGTTACAAACAGAGTACCACCTAAATGAATAAAAAGTATTTTTAAGATTTTCGTGAGACTGATTTAATTAAAACCATTTAAAATCAATTTATATTTTGAGATATGTAACTACCCCTGTGGTTAGTTGTGAATGATCTAAACAACAATGAATTTAAAGTAATTCAACCTTTGAAAGATCAATGATTCTACAGAATGATTTATGTTTTAAAAGATTTGATGGTTTTGATAGGACTGTTTAATTTATCTGTTTCATTACATGTGTTGATTAGTTTGATTTATTCACGATGAATAGAGTAGTATCACTGAAACTTGGTTATACCTACAAGTGAGGTAACATATAATTTCTAATCTTTGAAATGAAATTGTGAGCTGTCTTCTAGCGAAATGACTGATTTATTCGTTTAGCGCAGTCAGCAGCCACTTCTTATCATGATGTGTTAAATTAGTTAGTTTGCAAAACGTAACCTAAATGATTTGAGTTAATTTTAGTTGTTGCAAACTGAGCGGACCTACTTAGGTACTAGAATCTACGTTGTTAATAATTGACTGACTGGTTTGTATGCTTCAAAAATACATGATGTTTACATTGATTTTAAATTATAGCTATATCACGTTTAATGATTAATTATTGGTATTCGTTCAATTTATTAGTTGTCAATCAAACACAGCTCATTAAGAGTGCTGTCCATCTAATTACTAAATATATGTTAAAAGAGAATTCACATTATGTTTCATTGTGTTGGAGTGGTTTTAATTGTTTTACTCGTCATTGAGATTGTTTGATGGATATTTGGACATATGAGTTGAAAGTAATATATATATATATATATATATATATATATATTTTTAGCATATATATATATTTTAGCATATTTAAATTGTGAATTTATCTTGTGCATTGATTATAACTAAAAATGGCAATTTAACCGGGAATATTAAATTCCTTAATTAGTTACATTTATTATAATTCAATAATTACATAATGTTGGATACGAAATTTTTCTACAACTAAAAGTATCACGCATATATGCTGTCAATCTACTTAAAACAAAACACTGGAGAACAATCCCAATTTCGGTAACCTTTCGGGCTTTTGTGGCATTAGTCTAACTGTAAAAACGGCTGAATGTACAATGCTTCAGTGAAGATGATCCTGCTTTATGATTCCGAAATTTATATTCTTCCAGATGATGCTGTTGTTCGAATATCCTGTGTCTTTGTTTTTTTCAACGGTCTATTTACATCCAGTCTCAAAAATGTGCATGCAGTTTCAAGGCTAAGCATAATAGAGATGATAATTCTACCAATAATAACATAAGAGAACACTGGCTTAGTAGCTAATCTAACACAATAACGCTTACTCAATAAACTTACGTATTATCGAAATATTCAATCCCATCGTAAAGTGCAATGTTTGTTGATGAGTTACAAAGACCATGCATTTGATCATCGATTTTTTGTGCATGATCTTTGTCAAAAGCATCCTTTCGTAGTTCATTCTGTGTTGAACGTAAAAGTCTGGAAAGATATAAAAAATTTTGGAGTTGTAAATCACTCAGTTTTTTAAGAGTAAATCTTCCTCTATGGAAGTGTGATTTCTTCAGGTTTAATATGAGTCTGTACTTATAGTCATTTGCGGGTTAATCTTGAATAACCCTTAACTTGCTGACAATTTTCGTTTGGAAGAAATTTTTTTTAGTAACGCAATAATACGTGAGTCCGATGAAACTTATACATACATATATATGATACAGTAACTAATGCTAATATTGAGCTCTTTGTACTGTTGATCTGAATACCACTGACTTATTGACATAGGCGAATCCCAATGTGACCAACAAAATAACGTTTTAATGACTGATAATTTCGGAATTCTACAGTATACACACACACAAAATCTAATGACTTTGATAGAGAATTCAATGAGTCATTGTTAACATAAGTCATTGTAAAAAATTACCAGTCTATCATATATGTCGGTTAAACAAATGCTTGATATTATTTTTAAGAGACATATTTTCTAGTGATGTAGATTCAGGTTGAAAAATAAATACTATCATCAATTATGAGTAATAAACTGTAGAACATTTTTTTAATGAAGAATCTTGGTACAGTTAACCTTATTTTACACTACGATTTCTTAAAGACTCGTGAAAACCATGCAGTTTGATTAGTTTTACATCTCAAAAGATATTGAAGTCTAACATTTTTTCTAGGTTATGATAATATCATATATATATATATATATATATATAAGGCGATAAATGGAGAGTGTCATTTGTTTTTACTTGCCGATGGCAAAATAAAATTAGTTTTTGATACACAGTCAGAGAGAGAGAGAGAAATAAACATCAGAATAACAGTGAATTTTTGATGTAAAATAAAGTTTATACGCTTGGAATTCTTTGAATCAATAATTTGTTATAACATACTTATTATTTTTCTAGAACACTGCATAATTGATTTCGCGCGAATATGATTATATTAAACTGGTAAATCGTCTGTTAATTATCTTATTCAAAATTCTACAGCTATGATATTGACAAGAAAACCATGAAAAGTTATTTGTTCACCGTTATATGATGAATGAAGTCTTATGGTTAATTAAACTGCATCCCTAAATCGTATTAGTGTGAAACAAGTTGGATTGATGTATTAAAGATATTAACTCGAATATTTGCTCCTGCGCAAACCATTTGTCGATTTCGTTTTAAGAGTTGAAGTTTTTAGACTCCGTATCGTCTATAATTACTGGTATGGAATGCTGATGAGTGTCTAGCGTTATATAACCATTCATAAGTTGTTGGTTTTTAGTGGTTATTCATCTGATATTGAATAGTGATGAACATTACTTTGCATTATGAAAGTTTATTTAATATTGAGTGATTATTTTGGTGTGCATACTTAACCTTCTTTTTTAGGCTTAATAAAGTGAACAGAATTATTCAGTCTAAAAGGATTGATAAAATTCTTTTGATTGGCGAAAGCCAAATAGAATAACTTCACATGTTTGGGTATAGTTATATTCTCGTAATACTGTATTTATGGATACAGTTTCTTGAACCTGTTCTTTTCTAATTATCACTGTAATTTCATTGACTTTCATCAAAGTATTCAATAAATATTAGTAGAGATCCCTTAACTTCCTAAAAATATATGTTTGAATAAGGTTGTTATAATGCAATATTACACTGATGTGGGGAATATCAGTTCTAAGTATGTACAGATTCTTTTATAAATTATTTTTTTAATAAAAGATGGAACATTCGGTCAAGATTTCATGGTGAGCTATTATCATAAATAAACAGTGGCTTTATGAACGCAGTCGCTAAAAGGATAAGGCGACGGAGTTTGAAGTGAAAGGTACTGGGTTCAAGTCTCGGAGTAAACATCAATTCTGGGTTGCAGGTACATCCAGCTGATCAGTCGTAAATAGGATGAAATGAACTGGATTCCGCTACTAGCCACTGTCCATCTCTATTTATAACGCTTGGGACCTAATGGCTATACCAAGGCAATCTACACAGGATGAGACTGATCTTTAGTAGCTCTAACTATCAGTGAGATTTAAACCTACCAATACAAATGAATCATTATTATCCAAACTAGTTTGTGCACAAACTAGTAACCTTAACTGTGTGACATGATATTATTCTTTATCAGTTACTGAAAAATGTCAATTTTATACTTTGTTTTTACATTATTATCGATTTATGATGTTCGGTCTTCGTTCATGTTAAACAAAAATTTAGGATAAATGGATTGTGTCCGACAATGGATTCCAGGACATGCGTTTCACACCGTTTGAGATTCTTTAGATTCATGCACATGCTCCAGCAAACATTTTGTGATTATCCAAACATACCTAGGAAATCATAGAAACTCATTCATTCTGCAAGTATTTCAACCATAATAATTGGATGAAATACTTTGAAATTAATCAGTCTATGATTTGTTTGAAAACAAAGCATTTCATGATTGTATAGTCAGTCTGCTTAGACTTACTTGCAATATTCATTTCATTTAACTTACTTTAATTGAACTTCTGCTTTATTGATAAATTTATTAATCAAGTCAATTCCTTTGTTGACAGTTTGAACTTCCTAAAATTGAATATTTTCATTTTGATAAAAAAATAATTCATTTTAGTACATTCAAAAAAATTTGAAGCATAAACAATAACAAATTTATCTGTCTTTATTTTTTTTAGAAAAAATACCCCTAACGTCTTTGAATTTATGAATTCCCTTGATATGGTCTAGGTGAAAAAAAATAATTAGAATTTCTTAAAAAGGTCAATTAAGATTAATTTTCTAGCGTTTGTTTGTTTGATTCAATAATTTCTATCTTATTTCTAATATAATTTTCTTTTCAGATTCGTCAAGATTTAATCTTAAGGAGGATTTATATATATATATATATATATATCTTTCAGTGATAGAAATATAATGTTCACCTTGATCACTAGTAAGTCTTCTGAAAGCTGTAAATACAGGTTTCATTAAGTTTATGAGTACTACCCAATTACTTTGTGCTATAATCAGCAACGAGCATTAGAATTCCAAGAAACGATTTAAATATTCTAACAGTAACGATACTTCGAAAGGTTGTTAGCTGTCAAGCATGGAATGGCTGTTTTAGGCTTTTAAAATATAACTTATTTCTGATGAATTAATAATGTAAAGTACTATCTAAAAGATTTTTTTATTTATCGGATAAAACATATCTTTCATTCGGTATAACAATGTTACATGTACATAAAATTTTATTCCATGAATATCAACAATCTAATCAACACAGTAAACGTTAAGGTTTCAGTGTCGATGAATATTCTGTATTAAGTTCAGATTATGTTTTAAGTCATGAACGGATCACTGGAACATCCATTTCGTTTCATGAATGGCAAAAGAGATCATGATGGTATAGTACCAATAATAATGGGATAAGAGCAAAAACAAAGATTGTACTGACAAGAACATATCCTGCAGCCAGATTGATTACTTTATCCAAAACGTGTTCTTTAACATAATCAAAGGTCAAGCGCTAACACTTTCATGTTACCGCCAACTGCACATAAAAATTTACATGCTTGTGTCAAAGCAGTTACATTGGTAGAACAGAAAGAAGGGCTTACGTCCAATCCAGACAAAATATTCCAAAAGTCGAAAGTAGACTAAAATCAATCATCAGTGCATTTTCGGGCATGTCGATACTTGGTATCAAGTGGATACACTGAAGTCGTTCAAGGTAACCAATAAGCGATCACTTCCTCATCTCCTGAAATTTTCCATCAGGCGTCTAAAACCGAATTTCCATTTTTAAAAAGGAACGGTACTAAATCTTTCCTTATTCTGGTAACATTACAATCATTCCACTACGCCATTCTTCATTTCAAACGCTTCTCATGCCTAACTACATCATTTTCGTTTCTTTTGAATTTATAATTTTGATTCTTATTGACTGGTCGTAACTCATATTATTCTTTGTTAAGCTGAGATCGGTTGCGTCACTACACAACCATGTAAAGTTTGTTAGCTTCTTGATTTCTAATCACTAGTTTGCTATACTGGAATCCTTCCTATAATACATTAAAAAGCCTACAACATATTTCTATAACCTTATTAACTTTATTCAAAACATCATGATACACGTATCTATCTCTGATCATCTTCGTATGTCAATTACTGTGCTTATTTTAATTCAAAAATATTATGGGTCGTGAGCTGCTGATGAGAAGCTAGCGAAACAAAATAAGTTAATATTATTCTGCTCCAATGTTTGTTTAATGTTTGTCTATGTAATTTCATATAGTCACATAATTTACTTCTCATTTTTCTTTTATTCTTTCTCTCTAACAAACATTTACAAGATATATAACGAATTAATTAACTTCCAGTTATATCAGCAGCATTTAACAGGCTGTCGAACTAAAACATCTTTGATTATATTACTGATAATATTTCTTAGGCATATGCACATACATATGTAACTATTGCGTAACAGTTTAAAACTGTATACTTATCTATCTTCATCTTCCTGTATGAAAACATTAATGTCCATTAATGTAAGGTGTGTAACAACGATGCAATATATTCAATGTTTACCAACATCAAATCTTTCTTTGCTCTATGATTTATTTCAAATTACTTATTCACAGAATTCTTTCTTTTTTTTCCAATAAAATTAATTGTGTTGTTATTATTGTTACTGTTATTTTCCTCAGTTTTAATTTATTTTTATTATCTATTAGTATATATGTATATATATTCTCATATACACCACAATGATACATAAATTTCATGCATTTAATTTATCCACATATAGATTGGCTAGGATGTTTGTTTGTTTTTTTAATCTATTTCGTTGTTGGTTATTTTATTGTTGTTGCTGTTGCTGCTGCTGCTGCTGCTGTTGTATTCGTTCATTCGACTCACACTGATTAATTTTATTTTATTTCTTGCATAAATAATAACTTCTCTTCCTGGTCTAACAAATAAAAAATTGGGTTGATTTCAATATTCATTGTGGTTTATTATCATTGCCATTATTGTTATTTTTTCCCTATACATTAGTTTTGTGAAAAATCTATTTCCTTCTAAAATTATTTGTTCTCCTGTATAAATAAGTATATATATATATGTATATATATATATGCACTGAAATGAAAGGTTTTAGCCTTTGATGTAGTTATTATTGTGTTTGTTTGGGGTTCGTGGTGGCGGTCTAACATTTACAAATATATCATACGAGTGAACAATATTTCTTGTATGAGAATATTTATGCCTATTACACATATTCATCCATATGTACATTTCTATCTGTATGCCAATGTGTAAGTTCGTTAGTGTGCAAATATTGATGAATTTGTTTAGTCATAACTGAAGCATAAACTATAAGGTTCACTGGTTTGAAGCGAGAATAAATTTGTAAGTTATATGTAAACTACTTGATCAGTACCATCATTGATTAAAAATGATTGATTGAGAGAGGAGATACAGAAAAGAACTGAAAATGAGATAGACAATTAATAATAATTTTTAAAACAAATAACTTAAATCTGCTTCGTTTGTTTGTAAATAATTTTTTGAGATTTGTCAGTGTCTTGTTTACCTCTATGTGAGTACTAATGATTAGTACATTATGAATATATATATATATATATATATATATATATATATATATATATATCAGTCAGTCATTTGCAACGTAGAACTTCGTACGTATATACATAATTTCATGTTGCCATACCACATTAGCACAGAGACACAAATGTCAAATCAAATCCCATAGTAATAAAGATAGTAGAGGTATTAATGGTAATGAAGAAGACTAAGGTTTGAAGATATTATTCAAGTGTAATTCAGTGAGATAAGGTTAGAAAGACAAAGGTAGAGGTGTTGATGAATCTGGAAGATTAGGATTTGAGAGAGCACAACGAATGGATGCACTTGCGCCATTGCAAACGATTTTGAGCCATGTCGTTCAAGGCCTCTATCCATTGGGGTAAGCATATCAGGACCTGCTGCTCTGCCTCTCTTTAGATTTCCTATAGCTTTCTCAACTTCATAAAAACTAGGAGGACCTAAGTCGATTTGCCATTCAGGATGACTGGGGATCGTGGGCAACCGAAGTGTGGCTGAAGATCAGTTGAACTGGTCGCTAAAGTGTTCTGCCCATCGGTCCAATCTCCTGAATTGAGAATGGATATTAAGATCATCCTTTTCCGAAATAGTCTCTCACATTCAGGTTCGTAATAACGGTTTATAAAGCGGAACTGCTGTCTACTGTTGCCTATCGCCGCCGCCTTTTCCATCGCTTTTGCTTTCGTCACCCACCACTGTTCGCGGTTGTTACGTAGGCTTTTTATCAGTCTGCGCACGAGCTGACTTCGCACTTCATCATGTTCAGAGTCAGGTGGAATGCGTTTTTGAGCATCGATCAGTTCGGTAGATGCGACTGAAATCCACGGCTTCATCCAAGCCTTATGGTTTGCCTTACTAGCAGATATACTTACTGTTTCCACAACCTATTGATATCATTCCAACCTACCTGTGGATGGGAATCACGTGTATGGTCGCCTAACTGTTTTTCTAGTTCCTACTGAAATATTTTCTTAGCTTGATTATCATTAAGTAAAACCCTGAGAGGTTTTCTTGCGATATTTTTCTGGCGTCCAGTAAGCCTCAAACAAATACGCGCTCGCACTAACGAATGATCTGAATCGAAACATGTGCCCCAGGACGAGCGATATATATATATAATTGCTGATACAATTCTTTTAAGTTGTACTAAGTACCGTTGTGAAAGAAATCAGTTGTGAAATATTGAATTAAACCATATAGATTCGTTGTTCCATTCTCAGTGCAAAAATGGATTTATAGAGTGGACGTGGATTAAATAATTATTCAATAATTCGTCTCTTGGAAAAAATTACTTATAGAAATATTTCTCTTCGAATCCTTTAACTGTGCTACTACAACTTCCTTTGAGTACAAAGTACAGTTACTTACTTACCTACTAAAGCATAATAGCCCTTTCAGCGAATAGGAAGCCAAACAAAAGCTTGATAGTCTGTTGTATATCAAAATGTAGACTTAACGATTTCTGCAATATAAATTCATTTTATATTTCTATTGTGTACTGGGTTTCAGAAAGATTTATAAATGAAAGTATTTTTTTAATTGGCATTATTGCTACAAAGATTAAATATTTGGAAAAATTCAGTAGTAAACTACTATTTCTAATTTCTGCTGATTGAGAATCATCCGGAACAGTTAGTTCAATATAGCGGACATCTTGAGCATATATACTTTTCAGTCTATATTTGTATTTTATACTATAATGAACTTTTCATTACTATTGGGTGGCAAGGACAACTTACACTTTGTAATTAAGGGGATTACTCAAACCATTCATATAATACCACACATATGCTAAAACTACCTGTTGTAGTATTGAAATAAAGATAAATTATAAATTATTTCCTTTTAACATGGAAAAGCACTTACTTTACTTAATGCTTTTTCGACAATATCTTTAACTTCATCAATTCCATGTCTTTGTTCCCTGTTTGCTAGACATTCTTGAGCTATTTCTAATGGCTTTTTAATATACTCTTTATTGTAGTTGAGAAGCTGTATATTTGTCTGATAGAGAAAAGGAAGTGAAAATACAGTAAAATAACTAATAGTTTACCGAAGACTCAACTCTGTTTAATTACTAGACTGAAATTTTTTACTTTTCCCTGTCTAATTGAAAATACAACTTTTTTAAACTGTCTGAATTATTAATATTATCAGAGATTGAATGATACTGAAGTAAAATATCTATCTATAGACAATCGCTTGTCGATTAGTTCAACATGATAATCAGCTAACTGCAATATAATGTTTATTACACATGTATGAACTAATCAATCTAACCTTAGACAAAATTCGAAGTAGATATTTATTCGGTATGTTGTATAAAATGTTAAACAGAATCATGATTCACTTATCTGATTGATTGAGGTAGGGGAATTTTGAATCATAAGAATGGTTATATTTCAAATAAATATTCAGTAGTTGTAACTCCCTAAGGCAGTGAACAAATCGATCTATCTTGGCAATATATTATTTGTTTTAGGTCAATTTTTATATAACATTAATTTAGTTGCTTTTTTGATTTTTATTTTCATTGAGATGATCGCTTAAACAAGATTTATAAATTAAACGAAATGAATACATTGCAAATTAGGAAAAGGGATCTTTAGGCTTTCTATTCATTGCACTTGTGAATTATATGAGCGATCAGTTCTAAAATGTGTTAGGAAATTCCTAGTAAAACTATGTATATGTATACTGACTTTAAATGTTTGGATTATGTTGGCTTTGTGAGAGTAAATTAGTAGCTTTTTGCCCATTTTATGTGAAACAAGTTATTATTTTCTATCATATTTTACGAATTTCCATTAGTGAACAGTATTTATGTTCCTCGAGATCAATGTTCCTGTGAACAAAAGTAAAATGTACTTCTTTTTCAAAAAAATACTGAAACTGAGTTAATATTAGGTATTAAAACTTTTAACCTGAACATTCAATGTACTCAAGGTGTTTAAGAAACTTAAACCCTTCTTGTTAGATAAAGTAATTATAGTAGTAATAGTAACAATATTCACGGGTAAATATCATAATGTCATAGAGCAACCCGTTGTATAGAAACTTTTTGAAAGTTGGTCATATTATTTACCAAGTATGAGGATCATTTCTTGTTAGGATTTATCAGTATTTAAGAAATTGTGTTGTACAGAAAAAATCCATTAGGGATAAAACTTATATTTCTTCATTAATATTATCATCACCCAGTTGAAGTCTCTTCTACAGGCTTTAATTTTAAATCGATCTTTCCCAATCTTAAAATCAGTTAAATTCATTTCGAGACGAAAACCAAGTCTCACCAATTAGTTTGAGTAACATAAACCTAAATCTCGAACTCTTTTCTCAATGTTTACAATTCATTCAAGTTTAAGAGTAACGGATAAATGTTTGTCCCAACAGTAGTGAGCCTCAATGGCCTATTTAGGGATTGAAATCCATAACTCTAGACTTCATAATGAATAGTATTCCGGAATTCAGAAGTCTGAATTTTCAACTCCAGCCGATTCTCAATAATCGATCAAGTATATTAGCAGAACAATCAATTAACAATAAAGAAGAAAAATGCGAAAATACCACTGTCAAAAATCTCTGTAACCTTGGTTTAAATGAATGACTTGTATACTTCTACAGTGAGTTTTCCCTCCCATTATTTTTAGTCAATAATTTGCACTTTCAGTTCTAGTAAGCATAGTGTATTAAATATTTAAAAACATACGTCACTGATTTTGGCTGTTTGGTTAGTAGTCACAAATAAAATGGTGTCTATGAAATGTATTTTAGAGGACGTTGAGTTTTTTTCTAGCTTATATGCATATAGGTATGGTTAATAACATATTGCTACTCAGTCAATCATCGTTTTTTTCTTTCATTGTTATTCCTCTTTTTGTCTTTATACTCCTTAATAATAATAATAATAATAATAATAATAATAATAATGATAATCTTTACTGATGTGTGATAGGAATTAGGTTAAACAATAATAGGAAGCAGCATTATTCCGTTTTATCAAATGATTACAAGTGTTAATACAGGAAGGACTAGAATGAAAGACTGTATTGATAGAAAACAATATATTTTTTTAAAAATGTAATAAAAAAAGAGGTTATGAATAAAATATGAACAATGTGTTTTTTTGAGCTTTTGAAAGACATTTCCTTGCAATGAACATCACCTATGAATTCTTGATTTTTAATCTTGCATAGACTGTTGGTGATAATTTTATGTTGCTAGTTTAATTAAATTTAGTGTGCTCTCCTGTTTATTCCCTTCTCTATAAAGCATTTGTCACTAAAACGTTTAAACAGGTCGCAAACGAAATAAAATTATCTTTATTGACTATTTCGCAATATTTAATTCTGACGCAATCATCACTATATAGTCCATGAGAAAATATTGTTTGTAATTTCCAACTTGGATCGAAAACAGGTTTAAAAGACTTGAAGAATTATGCAAAAATCAGTAGGTTTTAGGAAAATTCAATTGTGCGCTGATGACATAGATACATTTATATTTATAAGAAAGTCCAACTTTAAGGAACTCAATTATATAGTATTCATTATATACACTTCAAACATGCTTTATATACATTCTGTCTGTGGTTGAAAACCAAGGAAACATTTCGATCAAAAGCTTCTCGTTCACTGATGTCCCGCTCGTCTCATCAAACCCATTCCTCTATCATTGTACATGGTTCATTTAATGAAGTAGATTCAATGGACTGATGTCAGTCCAATCCACGGGAATGAGTGGCCGAAATTTATACTGAAACAATGTTTCGTAGTGTGGTCATCAGCAATAATAATCGATACTAGTATCAACAATTAGATTTGCCGAATTACCTTCTTTCTGTATTAACTTAACAAAGTAGATTAAATGTGAATAACAGCTTATTTATCTCTTAGCTGATGTTTTCTACATCGTCCGTGATAAGGTCGTATGTAAAAGTGTTTTAAAATATATTTTTCAGTACTTTCTAATTTAAGACATGTTTTACAGAATGGAAAATGGCTGAAAAATAGCTTATTTTAGGACATGAGGAATATTTCAGTTTCTTTATAGTAAAGTGGTCTTACTTTACTATCCAGACATGAAGTATGAAGAAGATATAAAACTTCCATATTTTATACAAAGCAATACAGTTGAATTCCACAACAATAAGCAAGGTAAATTCTTGCATAAAATAATAATCTTTTACTATCCAGTGATTCGACAATTTTTAAAGATGGTTTTGTACTCATTAGTCATGTTTTAGTCTATAGTTTTATACATATTATTTAGTAGATTATAAACTAAAAGCAAACGTTTTCGTAAAGAAATCGGACGTTTCATTTGATATCTATTAAAATATTCTAACACTTGAAGGTGACCAAATATCAATAAAATCATAGTCTCCTGTACTGCTAGTTGAGTGTAAAGATTTGCCTAAATCCAGAGTCTTTTGTCACATCGACATACCGCTCAGAAGAGTATTGTATGGTGAAGCAATGAATTTTAGTTTGCTACAAGACCAAGACAATATTACCTTAGCTACAGGGTGCAAGAAATCAATCGGTAAGCGAAATTTTAATCTTAAAATGACATCTAGGTCAGACATTAGGTATCAGATGTGGGAGGATAAAATAAACATTGATTTTACCATTCGATAGCTGAATTATACAAAGTAGCATTTCACCTATCCCTACCAACCATTCTATATAACTTACAATAGTTATTATATAAAAAGTAGAAAACCAGAAATCCTAGGATGATCAACATCGACTTTTGAAGTTACTGTGTTTTTCAGCTAAGGAGCAACTGAAGCCTGAGATCTATGGAACACTGGAAACCACTAAATAGAAAACATAACCAGTTTTTGAAAAGATTTATTGATTTGAAGTAGATATGCTCCGAGCAGGAAAGGCTAAATTATTATTTGACTTAATTTTTATTAAATTTTTTTTCTACTTACACTGGTGTATTATTTCTATAAATGATTTGTTTTTATCATTTTATCTAAAACACACATTCAAGTTCATTTTTAATTTATATTCAGTAAAATTAAATGTCAATCTAGATTTCCATCATAAAATATTTGAATATAATTCAATGTATCCTCCTTTATTCTCACTTCTATTCTACTATTTCATCATTTTAAAATGAAATTCAAATCGAAAATAATGAAATAAGCTATATTAGAATATTTCTTTGTTTAAAAAATTATTATATTGTCATAACACGTATAGAATTCAAAAAAAAGAGTGGTCTATTCAAATCAAATTGTCTTGTCTGTCTATTTAACTCTTCTTTCATAGATAAAATCAGTTTGAAATGAAATAAGGAGTAAAATTCAATTCTCTTTTCAGCACAACCCTTATTTTATTTAAGCAAAAGCAATAATGCAACAATAAAAACTGATAACAATGTAATAAAAAAATGTGTCATAAAGTATAGGAAGGAAATAACATACAGCTACAGGAAGTCGAAACAAGATGAATGAATAGTGAATAATAGTTGATTATCAGAGTTTATCTGTTTTGTTGTTGTTTTTTACAAATAGGAATACACTAATTTTTTCTTTTTAACTAAAGCAACACTTTGTTGATTTTAGTAATATACGTCTGCATGATATGGATAGATTGGGAGTTAACAATAGAATAGAATTATTGATGTATTTGTTTTGTTTTTTTCAATAAGAACTTGATGTGTAGTAAGGTCACTGAAGCCTAAGGGTGAAAGAATTATGTATTACTCAATACACATCAAGGAAATGTTTGAGAAACAAGGAAGAGAGCAGGGAGATAATAATGAGAAGAAATATGAAAGTCAGTGTCAGTCAGTTATTGCAGTTCATGTATAACACTTTGTATCTCTGAGAAAAGAAAAACATCTAACAACGTCTAATTTTTATTCAGTGAAAAAATCTATTTTTAATGAATGAGGTTTTGGCTTAGAAAAACATTCATTGAAAAAGTTTCAGATAAATAACCGTTAGACTACAGTTTTATTTTGCACGGCTATTTTTCATCCAACTATTAAGCAAATCAAATCTAGAAATCTGAAGCCACCCTGTGATATCAACAGTTGATAGTTTAAAGTTTATTCATACGGCGATAGATATTGATTTATTCTATGAGGTTATACAGATCATATTGTGCTAGGTTGGCTGTAAAAATATAAAACTTGCTACAACTGAAAACGTAATATCTCAAGGTTTGAATCACTTAGCATTTGTAAGACAGATAAATAAGAAAAAGGTAGGAGAGCGAATTTTTGTAAGTAGCTTAACATGGTTAATCTTATAGTTTATTTGTTAATTGTTGACCGATATGAATCGAATAAGTTCAGAAAATGTATTAGCAGATTACGGTGTAGTGTTCTAAATGTATATTACTCCCCGAAAGATCTGAGTGTGTAGCGACTAACCTATAATCAGATCATAAGTGTCTACTGTTCAGGAGTTAGCCAAGACAAGATAAAACAACTTATGAATATGATCTAGTTTTAGTGGTTCTAAAACTGAATAAAACTTATTTTGAACACAAAAACTGTGAAAGTGAAGTGAACGGATATTATGAGTAAATGTGACGGAATCCCAAACCAGTGCTCTTATATATTTTGCTTGTCATAAGATATGCAGGCACTAGATTTACGGTTAGACAAGTGTCTGAGAATAATAAGTTTATATATCATGTATTTAATAAATAATGGATTTATTGCTGAAGTTTGAAACGAAAATTACTTTCATATAATACAACACCTTAGAGAATCTGGAGAAGTAAAAGATATAATAATCCTTCCATTTTCGTGTAATTTATCAACTGTTGCTTATTATTAAATAAACAGTTGCTTACTTTTAATCTATCCTGTTCTTCTTCATTTAAATGCATTTCCGTCTTCAGTTCATTTTTCCAATGATTTATCTCTTCTATTCTTTCTCCTGAAATATTATTTTACTAATTAAATTATAACTAATAATAAAATTATTGTTTATATGTCTGGTAATTACGTTGTAATAAATATTGAATTTGAACATTTCAATCACACATTGACGTTTGTAATACTTAATGAGTTATTTTTGCCAACAAACATCAGCTAAAGAATGAATCACTGAAAAATAGGAAGAGCTAAACAGATGTTTTAACCTATTTCTGATTAGTTTATGCCCAAGGCTTACGGAAAAAACTGAGTTTGGGGTGACTGAACATCACATTACACACAAGATAACTTAAACGATCTTAATCAAACTGCCGTATCTTATACATCTTTAAGGTCGAAACCAAGAGAAATTAGTCGTGGTGAAACTGAATGTTACGTTTTACTAATCATTTCAGATTTTAAATTTTTCTATTATATTAGTGATAATGATCATATTCGTTTGATAGGAAAATGGAGGATTTTACAAGTTTTATGCAATGTGTACTGTTTTCGTGGGTTATGTCGGTTCGAAAATATCCTATTAAATGGTGGTTATTTTGCACATTGATTACTCTCAATACGACATAAGATTGAACAGGATACTTGTAACTCTTTAAATAGGAACTCCATGTATTAATAGTTAAGGTTCGATGAATAATGATGACTGAGAACTGTTTTACTACCAGTTTTGACCATGAGAATTGTAACGTGATAACATTACAAAAAAAGAGATGATTTCAAAACTAGAACACATGTTCACTGATATATAATCTCTTAGTATTACGATTCAATTTAATTTTGATATTCTTGATAATTGGGTTTCATCGAAAATGTGCTTGTGAAAATATATGAATATTCTGAGTTTATACACAGCATACATTTCAGTCCTTTTCACACTTTATCTGATTTCAGTTCATAACGGAAACAGTCAGATTATAAATCGTATTAAGTTTAAGTTCACTTTACAACTTTACAACAGTTTACAACTCAGAATGAAAAACCTCTTTACTGTTGTTGACAGAAGCTATTGAAGATGACTTCAAAAGGTATAATATTTTAAAAATTTAAAATTTACTTTCGGAAATCGTATACATTCAATTAATATTATAGAATAAATAATCTTACGTAGTTTAGTTGTTGCTTCAGCTTGTCTATTTTTAGTTTGTCGATTAATTTGCTGAATCTTTTGCCATGATTGCAATCGTAATTCTTCTGCTTCAGCTCGTTCATGAGCAGCATTTTGCATAGCAGCTTTATTAACTAAATTCCACATTGTTTCGCTGTGGCGTGGATAAATGCATTTTCTGAAAGGAAATAAAAAGAAAATCCATGGTAAACTTATATTTTCAATCGAAAAATATATGATTTTCGATTATGAAGTGGGTATAACTGCAGAAAGTAGGCAGATGCTGAACTAAGATAGTTAGATGAAGAATACTGTACAAGTGCGGTGACTACTACCTACAAGGTGGCGCATAAACAATGTAAAGTAGTGCGCTGCTCAAAAGTTGCTACCACAGACAGGAGTGATTAGAAATTAACATGCATGGTGCAATCAGAGTATGTTGAAGACAATCAACAACCTGTTTTTATTGCTAATGGATGTCTGAAAATTTTGTACATATTTTGCCAATAAAGTGTTTTTTGTCCAAATCTATATGTTCCATTTGGTTTTGACTTCTTTGGACGTTACACAAGGTATGGTGATTTATGTTAGCTGTAATTTTCACCTTGGATGTAACACTAGTCTAGTTAGTTATCTTCGGTTCCGAACTTTCCATCGATTTACTTCAGTTTACCAGTAAAATCACCAAAATATGATTTGATGAATGTCCGTTAACTGTAATAATCAGTTCACGTCACTAGTCTTAAAATTTATCTTTCCATTATGTAATTAATTTATTGCATGAAATCTTGTCAGGTATAATTTGATTTGCTGATTCCCATTAATATGATCACAAAATTTAACCAAAATTATATATCATTACATTTTACATCACTAACTGATTATACTTTAACAACCATCAAAGTCTGGAAGCACTAGACTGTTATCCCGACCAAGACTTTAAGGTTTAGTGGCCAATAATCAGACATCTGAACCGGGATTCCATGGTTTAAACGTCCAGTTCTTATCGATTCTCGATATTCCGATGCCACTTGAAAAGTGAAATTTTTGAACTCCATTACGTTCAGTTTCTTACATAGTGGCCACAGATGCTGCACGAAGTTAGTCATGATTATTATCACTTTTATGAGTCGAATAAATTTAAGTATAAGGACCATTAAAAACCGGCTCAGAGGTCTTAAGCATAAGCACTCACCAAGAAAACTATGTTTTTATTTCAATCCTCGAATGAGTGGTTGATATGGACTGCTGATGTGTAGTATTCTTGGATGTAATATTAGTACAGGGACTCTAAGTATTGATGTTAATCATAAAATTCAACAATCAACCTTTATTAGCAGAACAATATCAGTTAGTTCTGTGCTAACTGCGTTAGTACTGACATATAGTCTGATTCAGATAAAACTAAATCTACATGCATGCAAATATGAAAGTATCATGTCAATGAATAAATGGTGAAGTGCTACAAGGTAATTAAATACAAAATATCTAATGTACTTTTATTTTACTCTATCTAGATAAATAGTTTCCAATGAATATCAGGCTTTTAGCAAGACCACACCTTTCGAAAAAATATCTCACATAAACTGTTTATATAATCTTATCAATGATACCCTTTACTTAACATATCAATCACTTAACTCACTTTTGACTGTTATACAAGCTAATATTCAACAATGGATTTTGACTGTCACTGAGAATAACACTGACACAGTGCTTACTATGATTAATAATCCTTTCTCGTTTGTCATGATCATTTTTAGTTAGTTAACTAGATTATTTAAGTTTTAAATAGCTTGTTTATGGAAAATGAACTATTAGAAATTTTATGAAGAAAATGGAATTTTCTCGTCTTCATAAAGTAGTGAATTTATTTGATAATATTTAAAATATTCTAATTAAGGTAAGTGATTTGTATACTTAATGATATGTGTTAGCCTTTGTATGATTTTAAGTGAATTAACATAACATCAATACAAGGATAGATTTGCAAGAAAACTATTGCTTATTCATCTGTTGCCAGATAATTTGTCAGTAGAATTTCTAATTTTAATAATGAGTGATATCAGTTGACGAAAGAGAGAGAGAGAGGAAACGAATGTTTCTTTAGAGTTGAATGTAAGTTGAATCTGTAAGCACAAAGTCCTAGGTCAGTAGTTCCAAAGAATTCATTTCAAATGACTTACACTAAAAGATTCAGAATGGAAGTGGAAGACGAATCGAGTTAAAGTTTTCAAGATCATCCATTTGATAACTGCCTAGCTGACTCAGGCAACTTACTATTACAGAACACTTATTTCCAAGTGTAAATAGACTAGTTAATAAAATTATTTCAACAGAGAATGATTGATTTCATTCAATGAATTAATTATTTATTTATTCTAAAAATCATGCTTATAAATATTTTATCCGCTCTACCACATAAATCAATAAATTTGGACAAAATTACTTCATATTAAAAATCAATAAAAACGTATTTACATTTGACATCTTTAGTTCAATAATATCTTTTACAAAATCACTAAAATTTGGAATCGTGTTCATTAAAATCTATATGATACGTATAGCATCAAACAATAGATTGCTGAACAGAATAAATTTTTTTTCGACATATATGCAAAAACCTATAATTCCTTACAAGCTTCTTTCATTTCTCTGCTGTTCATTGTGAAGTCTTATTTGCAATCAAACACATTCGTTCTGTTTTTCTTGCTCTGTACAATGATTATTATCAAACACAATGTACATTTTTGAGAAATTCATCCAGTTAATATTTGTACGCTGCCTCAATCATAGTTTCCATAAAAAGATATATACTACTATATAGTTACGAAAATTTGCATATATGTTAGCGAAAACAAGTATACTCTCATTGCTGATCATCTTCACTCTCTAATATGATATATATATAGTTTGAAAAAATCACCTTGAACAGAATAAAGCTAACAGTATGCCACTAAATAGTCAGCTTACTTACGAGCATCATTTTATACTCTTCTATACTTAGATGGACAGGTTATTTGTTTGTGTGCGGAAAACAGGAGAACCATCTAATTTTTGCTGGAATTTTATATGGTGCTAACAGTTAATAATACAAATTCATGGGAAGAAGAGTTCATGAAAATTGAATCTAGTTTAGATTATATGTTTGAAAGTGTTATTTATGAGTAGTTGTTACAATGGTATTAATTGAAATCTTATTTTATCTAAATAATAGACATAGTTTATAAAGATAAATGCTTAATATTTATAGCATATCTAAAAATATTATTATCGATTGATAATGATTATCCATCATGATATGAAGTCTCTTGTACTTATCATGATGATTAGTTGTGATTATTTGAGAAGTGAATTTTTATACACTTGTTTATAAATAATGATATCGTCTAAGCGATAATTTTTTGAACTATGAAATAAACATCACTAAAAGTATATTAGTTAAAGGATAAACCAATGATGAATCTTTGTTTATATGTCTGTAATTTGTTCACGTACATTATGTGAAAGTAAATTACTGTTATCAAACTGTTTTTAAAGTTACTCACATGCTATTAAAATAACTAAAAGTAATATATCATCTAATATTTAGCAACTTTCCTGTGATAAAACAAAATAAATGGTTACCTTGAGAACAAGATATTATCTTTTGTTGAAGAGAATAGTGAGAGCCAAAAGAATGTTACATAATTGGTTCATAGCTTATTATTAATATAAACTTTTAAAATAATTCATCTGATGTGACTAGACATAAGTTTGGAAGCTTAATAACTGATTAGACATTGTAAAGTTCATTAGGTTTGATCATTCTTCAAGCTAATGCTTGTTGCAAGAAAGTTAATTAATTGTTATTAGACACTGTGTAATCTTTTGAACGAAAAAGTTATCTACACAAAACCCTTGGATATGTTTGCGATGATTGTCAACGGATAAGGAACTACAGTTCAAGCTCGTCAAGTTTTTTAATTGCCATGTTTTATTCTATAAACCCTAATGGTAAAACCAAGTTGTTGATGAGATTTTCTATGTAAATTAGCAAATTATCGATTGTTTGGTAAATTACAGCCTAAATTTGAATCGAGAAGTAAATTGTACTTCATTTAATTTGTAGATTGACAATAAAATGCCTTGAAATCAGTAATATACTGCCCAACCCTTTTCTATAAATATTTTAGTATAATTATTATGCTGCATTGGGATTAATCGATTACCGAAGAAATAACATGAATCAATTGTGATTTCAAACTATTTTTAAAATAAATACTGACCTTGCATAATTGTAATAATTACTAGGATGATCTAATGATTGGTATCTAGACAACTGAACATTACAAGGCCATATTTGTGTTAAACCACGAGATTTTTCATTGATCCTGTTTGTTGGCGTCAGCATATTCATTGAACTTTTGCTTCGAACAATTGGTGATGGAGTAAAATAGGAACAAGAAACCATTATTCTGAAATATAAAAAAAGGAGATAATTACTAATAAGTAAAAACAAAAACAATTTAATAATCATTATTCATTTGAATCTATTGATACTAGACTGATTCAATAATAAATCAATACGAAAATCAGTTAATACTCAAATTGATCTAAGATGCCAGAATTTTTTTGACAGATTAGAGTCTCTCAAGAGAGTGTAATTGTAAATAGATAACAATAACATCATTTGGCTTCTGCTTATTCCATCTGTCTATCTACATATCTATCTACCTATCTATCTATCTATTGTTTTTTAGTTTAAATTTCTTAGAAAGCAGCTAACCCACCAGAGTCTATTCTGATCGTTAACTAATCGAGTTTGACCAAATAATCAATCATAATATGTAAGAAAAAAAAATGGTAAGGTCTCGATTATATTTTCTTTTGCTCTTGCTATCCTATTTAAATAATACAGGATAGGATTATGCGAAAAGTTTTCTACTAATGGGTGGGTATAGTGTCTTTTTTATCGGTGTGAAAAGACAAATTATTTCTATGAGAGAGAGAGAGAGAGACAAGAAGTGATTAGAAAGAGAAGAAAGTTAAAGATACTAATTACAAGATTCATATACTTCACTTACTCACTCTCTCTCTCTCTTGTCTCTTATTTTTCTTCCGTTAGATAATGTCGTACAAGAGATAAAGGTGTTCTTAATTAGAAAAATTAATAATATTAATAATAAACTCCAGCTAAGTCATTCAATTTTTTTTCTGTCAAGTTATTAAACAATAGACTTTAATTTCATATATGAAGGAAACGTTTATGTTAATTTTATTTTTTTATGTTCATTTTTTAGCTTGAAGAAAGTTGAAACAACTTGTTAACTTTGTTTTTGTTTAAAATGGGAAAATTTGTTCAGTTTATGACAGAATTGGGCTGATCTAAACTTACTGTGAGTCAATTTAAACTGATGTTACTGGAATGAAATAAATGAAATTTATTGTGAGTAATAAGTAGCAAGAGATGCGCTTACAGAAACAATACAACTATGTATTAAATGAAAAGTGATTTCACTAAATGAAATAATTGTTAAATTTTAGAAAATATGGGTCATACATCAATGTCACTGAAACGGAGAATAACAGTTAAAAAAACTATGCGTAATAATAGTAGATACAGTTTTTGATTGAGTTCTAGCTAACAAATGCCAACAATATCTATGCACAATTAAGTGAAGAAAAAGAGAGGTATAGGAATTAGTGAAGATAATTTAGAAAAGTTTTTTTAACTTCAGTTATTTATACCCTCTGTAAACTGATCAGATCGACACAACATACGCCAAACAAATCACTCTTGATGGAAATGCCTTGGAGGATATTAACACCTTTACTTATCTGGGCAGCATCATCAACAATCAAGGTGGATCAGATGCAAATGGGAGGGCGCGGATCGGCAAAGCAATGACTGCGTTTCTACAACTGAAAAATATCTGAAACTCCAAACAAATATCAATCAACACCGAAATCAGGATTTTCGATAGAAAATGTCAAGACAGTTCTACTGTATGGAGCGGAAACTTGGAGAAATACGAAAGCCATCATCCAGAAGATACAAGTATTCACTAACAGTTGTCTACTCAAAATACTTCGAATCCGTTGACCAGACACCATCAGCAATAACATACTGTGGGAGAGGACAAACCAGATTCCAGTGGAGGAGGAAATCAGGAAGAAGCATTGGAAGTGGATAGGAACACATACTACGAAAAGCACCTAACTGAGTCACAAGACAAGCCCTCACATGGAACCCTCAGGATAAAAAGAAAAGAGGAAGGCCAAAGAACATATTACACCAAGAAACAAAGAAAGATATGAGAAGAATGAACAAAAATTGGATTGAAGTGGAATGGGAAGCCCAATACAGAGTAGGCTGGGGAATACTGGTGGGTGGCCTATGCTCCATTGGGAGTAACAAGCGTAAGTAAATAAGTGAGTAAACTGATCAGATGTCAACTAAATGTACTAAAGTTTGTTTGACGCATCCTATTTTGAAAACTGATTCATATAATGAAATATGATCATGGTTTCAATGAGGTGAATAAAAATTCTGTTTTATGATATTCCTACAATAATTTATGTCTAGCAAAATTTTAAAAATTGTTATAGTAGTTCGAGTGGTATTTTCAGTTCATGTTACAACTTCCGAATAAAACACATATTTTTCGATGTATGAAGGCCTTTTATAATACTGATCAGAACAACATCAATGAACAATTGTTAATAGACAAGAAGATATCACTTGTGGTGAGCTCATAACCAACTGATTTACATTATTTTTGTCAGAATGGCCTTCTACAAAAAATTTTAGCAAAATTTAGTTAATTCGATTTTTGATTCTTAGGACTCGTGTGCCTGTATGAGAACGATGATTACTAAGTAGACCTCATATTTTTTAATCATGTAAAGTTGTACTGTATTCATTATAACGGCTATGAATTTTGTCGAAAATCAAGCTGCTCATATTGTCCATTAAATAGGTACAGGACGTATACGTATGACTGTCAGATATTAAATTCGACAAGTTTTCAGAGTTTAATTATCAGTCATTTTCCAGAATATCCGGCATCATAAATTGGTGTTTATAAGCACTTAAAATTTTCTTTCGAACTTTAATGTCACTGCTCAAATAATTTTGCTAAAAAACTAAGTATTTAGAACAGTGTGTTATTTGTAAAAGACTAGTACTCACTTAGTAAATTATATTTTTGTGTTAATGACTTTATTAAAAGTAGATATCAGGTAATATTACTATTGAGTATCAAAAAGTACAATTGTATGTATAGTTTATGTACTTCCATTATTTTTCAGGTGATTGTAAAGTCCCCTTTATTTATCAAGGTAAAATGGTCATATAAAAATGTTGAGTTTACTAACTATAAATAAGAGAAAATTTGACATTACATCTATTTATGAGGTCAATATATTAAATATCAGTAAAGGGTTGTGGAGATTGTTAGATTTCATTGAAATCATGAAATAATCATTGTTAGATCACCAATGAAAACTTGGAAAGACTGGAGAGCCGTTTTGTCCTTGTATGAGACTCCTCAGTAGTAAGCATCCACAGCTCTGCACACAGGAATCAAACACACTACTTTCAGTCCTGCGCACTAAACCATGTCGGATATAGTTATCTGCTCGCAAAAGACGACAAAAATGGTCGTATAGTGTCGTGAGTTGATTAAAGTTAAAAGTGAACACAATTAGGGGTCGACATAGCGACCAGTAAGTCAAGAATTCCCACGTCAAACCAAAGCTCTCAGGATCCATACTCGTGTGCGTGGTCCCAGATATGCACAAATGAGTCCCAAATTTAGACTAAAAAGTCATGCAGTTCTTCCAGGTTTTCAATGACAGACGAAAATCCATTGGTTCACGATTTTAAATAAATGATGATTGTTCTGAAATATTATTCTACGATATTAGTGTATTCATTTAAATATTAAGATTTTGATGTTTTGTCTTCATTGAATTAATCCTTAAAATCTTATAAGGATTTTGTCCTAAATATTTTAATCACGAAAAGATGCCATGGGAAGTAATTTCGTAGTCTTTTACTAATCATTAGTAGTAGATACTTAACTTATCATTAATACAAAAATGATCTTAAATGTTTGCGAAGTTCATATTAACCCCTGATATCTATTTACGGTAGTATAAAAGTAAACTCTCGTCTCTAGGTATGTTTAAAACTATTACGAGTTCACCTTAGTCGAATAATGAGAACAAAACAATAAACCAGTGTCCAGGTAGGCTACTCTGATCCGATTGTCCCAATTGTACCAGCAAGAAGTCTTGATATAGCGTGGAAAGTGTATTCAAGAAATACCCAGCAAGCACACGAATCGCGTTTATTTATACTCCATAGAGACGTCCTTGGGGAGTCACAAAATAGCACACTAAAATGACACAGTAACCAATCACAGCCAAGGATTTTCCTGGTGGGAAATGTGATCTCACTTTCAACTGATTGATCCATGAAATAAATCCAAAATAAAGATATTTATCAAGCGAATTCTAGGGATCTAACATCCCCAACACTCTAAAACGTATTTGTTTAATTGTTTTGTTAAGCAGCTACAAAGAATTGTATAATTCTTAATTCTAGTTTGAAATGTTTTAGCAGTATGTACAGAATATCTCACATAAAATCAAAACTAAGTAATAAAAATCTCATTATAGAAATTATTCTAGTATGCTACCAAGTCAGTTTTTTTATACCCCAATCGTTGTACAGGACAACGAGTTTCTTATCTGCTGGTAGAAACGAGTAATCATTTTATTTTCTTTCTACATGGTCCACCTATCACAACTTCTTTTTAAGACAAATAAAAAATCATCTAGAAAATCATCATCTCTAAGAATCATACTTCAATGGTTAGTTAGTTTATGTCTGTTTATCATGAAAGTTAATCAAATCATTTTTCTAATAATAACATAAGAATAATTAAAATAAAACTTTTTCTAAAACTTTCACAACTTGACAGTTTTAGATAATAAAATAAAATCTGTGTATACACGTTAATTAGCTCGTTTTATCAGTAGAAAAGGAATTAATATCTGTTTTAATTGGATTTTACTTTCTTATCACAGAGAATTCATTTAATGAGTTTTTTTTGCAGAGCATTTCCAACTTCTTTTCAAGTCCTGCAATATTTTCTTGGTTTACTATTCAACCTTATTCCTCATAGTTTTTCAAAAAACGAAAACTTAGTTATAAAAATAAGAAAAAAAGCGGAGAGAGTAACCTTAACAACAGTTAATCACTACAACATTAACAGCTGAAATTAGATGCAGTAAAAATGAGACAGAAAGATAAGTAAAAGATTGGAAATTGTTTATAACTTTAAATAAGCCTTCTCTTTTTTTTCGCCCTCATTTTTTTGTCACTGAGTATATATACAGACATAAAAATAACATTTTTGTAAGTTGCACCCTTATTCCCCAAGCGCACAAGGAATTTTACAC